AAAAACAAGGACAAGAAAAAAAACAAAAGAGCCTTTCCAGCAGTGACGACCTCCCAAGAGAACATGCCTCTCGCAAAGGATCTCCTTTGTCCCCCTCCAGAAGAGAAGAGAGGGAACACAAGAAGTGCCTGGTGCAGCCCCAGATCCAGTTTATGGTGTGAAATGCCCAGGATGCTATAAAATCACCACGGTCTTTAGCCATGCACAAACAGTAGTCTTGTGTGTTGGCTGCTCCACTGTCCTGTCAGCCTACAGGCGGAAAAGCTCAGCTCACAGAAGGATGTTCCTTCAGGAGGAAGCAGCACTAAAAGTACCTGAATCAAGATGAGTGAGAAAGCATCCCAATAAACACATTTTGGATTTAAAAAGAAAAGAAAAAGAAAAAAACAAAAGAAAACCCACAGGTAATTCTAGGTCCCAGGGAGCTGCAGGGCCCCACTCCAAGACAGAGGTGGTTTGATAACTTCCTGCATCAGTAACAAAAAACAAAGCCGTGTATGGTGTATGCAGAATTCCATATGCCACATTACTAACTTCCCATAGGTCCAGAGTTCTTTGTGATAACATGTCAGTGGGAGAGGGTTGGCCACTTTTTTAGCATGTGAGGTTACTGGAAGAATTGTCCACACACTAGCCTGTGGCTCCAGGCAGTGTGGATCTGTTCCGCACCCACTGTCCATCCCCCCACCCTCAAAGGTGCCCTGAATGGATATTGCCATGGTGGTACCTTCATGTCAGGACACCAGGCAGGTCAGGTGGTCCAGATATTTCTGAAGCCATTCCTTCCTTAGACCTGCCTGCAACCAGGTAGCTATTCCTAGATGTAACCATGAACCTACAACCATTTCCTGCCAAAGTCACACTACATGTGTTTGTAATTTGAATTCCCATTAGTGAATCTCAAAAATGCAATGGCTGGTTAGATGGCTCAGTGGGTAGGGTAAAGGTGTTTGCCACCAAATCTAACAATCTGAGTTCTATCCCCAGAACTCACAGTGAAAGAAGGAAGACAGATTCCCTCAAGCTGCACTCTGTTCTCCATATCACACAAGGCCCCCCCCTTGACAAAAAATAATAAAGCTCTTTAAAAAAAATGCAATGGACACTCCAGAATTGCTGTTTGGAGGGAGTGCAACAATGAACAAGTCAGTTGAAAGAGACAGCAACCAGCTCCAAACTACTGTGATTAGAAGCTCTTACTTTTGGAAACTGTGAGGTATACAATCTGAGGAGACATGACTAGGGTTCTTCCCGAGAAGGGGGGGCGGGGGCGGAGGACTGGAGGTGAAACTCTGTTAGCTTCTGTGTAAATCCACATCTAATTGAAACATGTACACATATATACATTTAAACATCAAACAGGGCTACCATGACAACACAGCACTTACCACAGGCCAGACACACTGATGCTCTGTCCTGTCATGTACATCCTACAATTGGAGGATGCTGATTCAATGATGAGCACGGCCACATATGCCTGTAATCCCAGCACTTGGGAGGCTAAGGCAGGAGGATTACCTCCAGTTCAAGGCCAACCAGGACTATGTACTAAGGTTTCAAAAAACCAAATCAATGGACTGGAGAGATGGCTCAATGGTTAAGAGCATTGGCTGCTCTTACAGTGGACCTGAGTTCGGTACCCAGTACCCACATGGCAGCTAAAAACCTTCCGTAACTCCAGTTCTGGCTCGGCCAATAAAGGAGATTGCTGCCATACTCTTTACCTGGGTTTGATCCCCAAGACTGACACGGTGGAAGGAGAGAAAGAACTCCTGCAAGCTCTTCTCTGACATCCACATGTCCCCTGTGATATGCCAATACCATAAATATGAGTAATAAAAAATAGGAATTAAATTGAAAAGGGTATTATGAGGCCTACATCCTATGCCCAACCCAGAAAAAGGAGAATGGACTTAGAATCTGTCATTTCTCAGAAGGTCTGGACCACTGACATCAGGGGTCCTAAGCAGGACCCAGGCACTTTGCCTCCAGTCTGCTTTGGGGGACGAGAGAAAGCATCACCCTTCTTCCCCTGCCCAGAATGGAAGCTCTTTCTAGAGCCCTGTGTTCAGCCCCTGGAGACAGCCAGGCGTCTGGGAGACAATTGGTTCTGCTGTTTCCCCTGATATGTGGCCCTGGCAAGTCATTATACCTCTCAGAGCCTCAGTTCCCAGATCCATTCAATAGGCATAATGACACTGTGAGGGCAGGGGAGGGGCAAATGAAGCAATGTGCAGAGGGCATGGCAGACAGGAGACCAGAGACTCCTGGACTTGTCCTCTCTGGCCTTGTGTTCTAAGAATAAGTGGGTGGAGCTTGTTGAGCTAGAACCAGAGGAGCCCAGGACTTGCCCAGTAGGTCATCAACAACAGCTTATGGAATACTTGGACTAGAGACATAGCTCAGAGCACTTGTCTGACATGTGTGAGGCCCTGTGTTCAATCTCCAGCACCACAAAAAAAAAAAAAAAAAAAGACAGATTAGGAGTTTATGGAACACTACTGTGAAATCCATTGATTAGTTCATAAGATGGCTGGAGAGGTCAGCAGATCTTCACAAAGGATGGGTGGAACAGGGGCTGTTTCTTGTGGGTAAAAGAAGGTTTGTGAGGGAAGTGACAGGAGGTCTTCAGATGACTAGAACCAATTGCCAGTTACTTCCCTTATTGCTGTGACAAGATACCAGACAAAAGCAATTTAAGGAAGGAAGAGTTCATTTGGGCTAAGGGGATGCAGTCCATCATGGGGGGCAGGCCTGTATGGGGATGGGAGGCAGCAGGTCACATTGCAGTAAGGAAGCAACTGAATGCTGATTAGATATTAGAATATCTACACCTGCTCATTGCTTAGTTCCGTTTCATTGGAATATCTTTTTCCATCCTGTACCTGAAGGTGATGTTGATCATTGTTGGTGAGGTGTGTTTCTTAGAGGCAGTAAACTGAGAGAACCTGTTTTCTAGTCCAAACAGCTAATCTAGAGTTGAGACCATGAATATTGAGAGTTATCATTAACCAATGTTTATTAATTTCTGTCATGTTGGAGTTGTAGTGTTGTTTTCTTAGACTTCTTTTGGTTGACTGTTCTGGGATAAGTTATTCTTTGTGCCCTCTTGAGAGTAATCTTCTCTTCAGAGAGATGCATCCCATCAAGTATTTTCTATACAGCTGGTTTTGTAGACGCAAATTCCTTAAATCTGGATTTATCATGGAAAATTTTTCTTTCTCCTCTTATCACAATTGATAGTTTTGCTGGGTATAGTAGTCTGGGCTGGAATCTGTGTTCTTTCCTGACATATAGGACATTGTTCTAAGCTCTTCTGGCTTTCACATTCTCCACTGAAAAGTCAGCTGTTATTCTGATGGACCTGCCTTTATATGTGACTTGATCCCAAGTTTGACAATTTGCCCAATAAATGCAGTGGCCTATGGGGTTGCTAGGTCTAAGAGGATCATGGGTTCAGGTCTAGGAGACTGAGGAGAAAGTAATGGGTGTGAATTGGACAAGGACCCATAGTTTGCTTCCATCTGTTCCTGCCTCTGTGGGGAGCAGGGCCCAGGAGTGCTGGGGGGAGCCACCAGATGACCTCACATACCCAGCTTCCAGCCCTGGGGTGAGAGGCAGCTTCAAGTGTTTGATGGAACAGAGGGAAAGATCTGGCCTGGGAGCATGGATGAGGTGGTTTCATTTGTTTCCTTCTGTTGGTTTGTGTGTGTATGTGTATTCATGTGTTTGCATGTGTGTGGGTGTGATGTGTATGCACATGTGTGCACCTCTATGTGGAAGCCAGAGGTCAGCTCAAGTGTTGATCTTCAGGAGCTGAACACCTTGCCTTTTTTGTAGTTTTTTTGTTTTGTTTTATTTTTTGGTAACTCGGTGTATTTATAAAATGAAAAGCTCTATCAAAATACACTTTCACTGGGAAAAATAAACAATGATCTACTCAAAGTAAACGTTCACTTTAGTAGATTTCAGTGTAGGGCAGTCCATAATAAGCATATTTGCCCTTATTTCCCTAGAGCTGCTCAACTTCTAAGTTAAGATTTTTTTTAATTTATTATTTTTATTTTTTTATGTGTATGAGTGTTATGCCTGCATGTAAGTAAGTGCACCCGTGTCGTGCAATGCCGGCAGAGGTCAGAAGAGGCTATTGGATCCCTTGGAACTGGAGTTACAGACAGTTGTTAGCTGCCATGTGGGTGCTGGGATTCAAACCTGGGTCTTCTGCAAGAACAGTCAGTGTTCTTAACTGCTGAGCCATCTCTCCAGCCCCCATGTTAAGAATTTTTTAAATCATTTAAGCAGAAGGCCAAACGTGGTAGTGCACGCCTTTAATCCCAGCACTCGGGAGGCAGAGGCAGGCGAATCTCTGTGCATGGGAAGCCAGCCTGGTCTCCATTGTGAATCCAGGACAGCTGTGGCTACAGGGAGACCCTGTCTCAAAAAGACTCCCCTCCAAAAAATCATTTAAACAGAGATTTTATTATGTTGCTAACTGGTTCATTCCACATCATCATCAGCCAAGCTCTGAGCACTTAGAATTCTCTGACTGATGGTTGGAAGCTTTTCAGAAGCATCTGGAACACTGGCGGTGGAAGAGGCTGCTGTAGTACTTGCAGCAGCTGCTGAGGCTGTCCACACACAGCACTTGCATCGTCAGGGGGTCTACACCTTCCCCATATTCACCTTGCGCTGGTAACTCCTCACCAACCTGTATTTCTTCCAGAAAGACCTTCTGAACAGCTTCAGTATCTTTAAGATGAGATAACTTGGAAAGTCCAGCTCTCTCCTTGGCAAGTTTCTGCTTCTTTCTTCCAAGGCCACTAGGAAGTGATGGAACATCTACTCCAGCAGTCAACTTGAGAGCACCTGTCTTCAAGCATTCTATTTTGCTCCATCTCCAAGTGTCAAGACATGGCATTCAGTTGAAAGGCACTTGAAGTTTAAGGGCAGCCCATGCTGGTTAAGGGGTGCCACGATTTCCCTCCAATGAATCACCTAAAAGATGTCGCAGGTACGAAATAAGGCTGAGCCATGCGAGGCGCAGCCCTTTGGACTCCCTGCAGTCTCTCCAGCATTCACGCATATCTTGGAGGCACCTTTTTTTTTTTTTTTTAGTTTTTTATTTTTGGTCTTTTTGAGACAGGGTCTCCTTGCAGCCCCAGCTGTCCTGGAACTCACTATGTAGACCAGGCTGGCCTCGAACTCACAAAGATCCACCTGCCTCTGCCTCCCAGGTGCTGGGATTAAAGACATGCGCCACCACATCTGGCTTTTTTTTTTCAGTTTTTAATTAATTTAATTTTTATTTTATGTGTAAGAGTGTCGACTACACGCATGTAGGTACATCATATGCATGCAATGCCTGGAGAGTCCAGAAGACATGCACAGGATAAGAGAGGACATCAGTGTTTTGTGCCTGGCCTGTGGTAAGTGCCAGCATTGTCATGGGAAACCCAATTGATGTTAAAATATGCACATGTGTACATGTTTCAATCAGACATGGATTTAACTGAAAGCTAACAGGGTTTAAGTTCCAGGCTCCACCCCCCCTCCCCCTTGCCTTGGGAAGAGCCCCAGCTTGTGTTCCTAAGGTTGTGTACATCCCAGCATTTAAGGTAAGAGATCCAAATAGCAGTTGTCTGGGACCACCCGCTGTCTGTTTCCACTGACTTGTTCTCTGTCACTCTCCCCCAAAACAGTAATTATGGAGTAGCTGTTGCATTTTTAGAGTTTTCATCATTATTATTTGTTGGGAAGGGCCCTTGTATGATATGGCTCATGTGAGGCAATCAGAGGAGAGGACAACTTGGAGAAGTTGGCTGGCTTCTTCCATCCTGGGTTCTGGGGAATGAGTTCAGATTGTCAGTCTTTGTGGCAAGTATCACTGAGCTATGTTGTGGGGCCCCTTTGCATTTTTTAGATTTTCTAATGGAACTTCAAGTTACACACACATCTAGTTACACATACAGCTAGTATGAATTGGGTGAGAAATTGATATAAGTTCACAGTCAGGTCTAGGAAGAGCTCACGGAGGTGCAACCCAGAAGGCTGCCCCCACCTCGGGGTCCTCCTTAATGTTTCTACCTGTCCCCCAGTCTCAGGTCAGGTGTGACCTGATGGGAGGGTTCCACCTTCCTGTGCATGCCAGATCTGTCTCTGGTTTTTCATTTTTAAAGTTTTTTGGGTAAGAAGGTATCTCTCTAGGAAACTTGGAATAGCTAGGAGTCAGGCCTCAGCCCCTGCTGAGATGGCCTTTCCCTCATCGGAGTTTGCAAAGTTGAGGACCCTCTTCAAGGCCCCCCAGCCAGGGGAGGGCGCCAGACTAGGCAATGAGCAGCCAGCCAGGAATGCCTGATGATAAGAGGCCCAGGTAGGACGCTTATCTGGAGTTCCTGGAACACCCTGGTCCCAGGTACCTGGAACCAGTGTGTGCCTCACAATCTCACGGGGCTGCTTGGCAGGTGCTCAGGAGATCACTAGGAGGGCAGCAGGCTGGCGTGCTTACGGTTGCTCTGAAGGACCACTCATCCTCCGCATGAGGCAGTGCCACATCTCTGTCATCGGTCTTCCCCGCACCTCAAATCAGGAAGATGCCAGGAGCATTATAATACATGGAAAATGATAACAGAACACACTGTGGATGAATCAATAAACAAGATTCTTTTTACCCTTGACCTTGTGGGGAAAGGCGAGGGAATCGGTCTTCCCCGCACCTCAAATCAGGAAGATGCCAGGAGCATTATAATACATGGAAAATGATAACAGAACACACTGTGGATGAATCAATAAACAAGATTTTTTTTACCCTTGACCTTGTGGGGAAAGGCGAGGGAATAGACAGAGGGGGAGAAGTTGCAGGTGAAGGGTTGGGAGACCCAAAGGTGCCAGGGAACTTGCAGGAGGATTCAAATGGCCTTGGGGCTACAGGTCTTCACCTGAGCAGCACATTCCCTCAAGCTTGAAGGAGGAGACTGAGAAACCACCTGTGGTGAAGTAATGCACCTGTTGATAGCCCAGCCTGTTGGGGAAGCTGATCACATATCCATCTGGCAGTGTCACCTTGAACTGATTATCCTGGAAGGCTATGATAAACTGCACAGAAAATGAGGAGTCAAGGAGAGACAAAACTGGGAAAGGTCCTGATGGTGCCTGGTCTCTTAAGCTCCTGTGTCCAGGCAGGGGCTCTGCCATTAGAGCTCTCCCTTTGACATCCCCTAACTTCTGCCCTTTTACCTCACCTTGACACTGACCCTGCAGAGAAGGTGAGGTGCGTGTGCGCGTGCTCTTCTTCCCGGTTGCCACAACGGAACATGTTGCAGACAGTGGTGGAGTGGTCAAAACGAGGGTTAAAATGAAGGTTCAGGAGGTCTACTGCCTGGCCCAGGTTGATGGCAAAGCTGTAGGAAGACTGACAGGTGAGGACAGTTTAGGGCTGAGGGTCTTGGCCAACCATAAACTGGAAGAATCACCCTTTGGTTGGTTTGGTTTGGTTTAATTGAGATCTGTGCCCCAAAATGAGGTGGCAGTGGAGTTAGGCATGGCACTATAGTGGCGCCTTCCATTTGGAATAGGGACCATAGCTGTTGACAGTAACCAATGTGTGCCAATTTCAGAAATTAGGGGTGTTTATCCTGGGCAAAAGGATTGAAGACCTATTCAGATTGACCATAAGCAGCCAACCCTAGGTGATGAGCTCCTTGTCATCTGAGGTATGTAACCAGGGAATGAATGACTTGGCAGGATCACTACAGGAACCTGGGTTCAACTTTCAGAGTCCCTGAAAATAGCTCATTCTGGGTTCTGGGGTTCTATCACTGGGGCATCTCAGACCAAGGGTATCCCTGCAATGTCTGCAAACTTGAGGGACACAGATAAAGAGGAGGTTTTGTCTTAGCTCCTACACCAAGCATCTGCCTACAGACTTCCTAACCCTAGGTGGATAGAGATTAGTCCCAAGAAATGCTTGGAATGTTCCTCTACATGTAACAGCTTGGCGCTGTGCTGCAGAAGAATTAAACCAATGCCAGGGTTCTCAGAGATGCAAAGGAGACCACTGCTGCCCCTGGTGGATGCACAGACTCTTCGAGATGGGTTATGAGGAGAGAGAGAGAGAAAGAGAGAGAGAGAGAGAGAGAGAGAATGTGTGTAAGATATGTCCCTGAGGGGGAGGCAGGATGGACTTTCAGCAGAGGCACCAGACCCTCAGGACCAGGGCTCCTGCTTTCTCCACTTGCCCCTTCGGTGGCTGTTAGGGGAAGGATCAGAGCACGTGCAGTGGATTCTGATTCTGACATTCTGAAGGTTGCTGACCTGAGGCTTATGTGCAAAAGCAGATCCTAACCAGAGGGCTGTGGGAGCCCAACAGTGGGAAGGAGCAAGGAAGAAGGAAAGGCTTCTTGGCTTGAAGTCACCCTGTCCTGGCTGATCTGACAGGGCTGCCTGCCTGTCCCAGCTTCCTCCTCCCTCCCTGCCCCCCCTCCAAGGTGCTCACCCGTCAATGCAGTTGTGGATTTTGCCCATGATCGTGAAGGTCATCCCCATCTTCATCTCCATGTTTGTGATCTCAAAACTGCCCTGTGCAACAGAAGAATGCTCCGTTCAGGGGCCGGTAGGAAACACAGCCAAAAGTGGGAGATCTAAACTGGTGACACGCCAGCCCTAGTCACAGGTGCCTTAGAGAAGTTCCTGAACTTTCCCTGGGACATGGGGTGGGTGAGTGTCTGTTGGGGGCCTCCTGTGCAATGTGGGATGGCCAGAAGCTTCTCTGGCCTCTCCTCACTAGAACCCAGCATCCCTCTCAGGCTGCCATGGCCACAGTGTCTCCAGATTGACCAGTGTCCCCTGCAAGCACACACTGCTCTCAGGGCAGAGGGGTCAGGAGGCAGAAAGGCCAGCAGCTCCCTGTAGTAGCTGATTTAGCAGTAGAGACCAAACTGACTTTTTTCAGGTTCTGAGTTGCAGAGCTACCCCTGAGAGGGAGATGCCCAGCAAGGACACCCACTGCCCCTCCCAAATGACCCAAGAAGCACATGCACATGGCAGGTACTCAGATGTGTGCTGTTTATTTGCAATTGCTGTCCACCAGCCTGACTAGAAGGTGTCATCTGTCCCTCCCAAGATTCCTGGGGCAGGGTGGAGTGGATGCTGGGACAGGATGGGACAAAGCACCCCCTATCCTTACAGCCCCTGGCTGCTTGACTAGAACAGAAAAAGCAGAGCCCCTGAGGTTGCCAGTGGGAGCTTGCTGCAGAGCTAGGGTACAAGGAACACCAGGGTGAGATACATTTTCATAAATAAGATGCTGAGACCTGGGAGTGTGTACAGTCCCGGGGCCCTTGTCCTCACTGGGCAAAGCCTAAGACCGGAGAGATAGGGAGGCAGAGCCCAGTGGGAGTTGGGGCAGTTCACGGGCGATGAGGCTGGGTGAGTTGGGTTTGGGACATGGCCAAATCCAAGCTCTGCTTTAGCTAGCCCAGTGACTTAGGGGCCAGCCCCACTCCTTTGACCTGGATCCCCCATCAGTGCTATGAGGTTTTGTTAGGTGATATCTAGAGAAGGGGAAAGAGGAAAGGAAGGGAGGGGTGAGGAGATCAGGAGAAAGAACATCAGGGTTGTCTGGGCCATGAAGGGTGTCTTTGACAGGGGGAAGCAAGGACAGCTCGGGTCCTTCAGTTGGGAAAACCCAGTCACATTCACACCTTGCATGCCACCTGTACTGACTTGGGTAGTACAATTGGCCAATTCCCTTCCCACAGTTCATCCCATCTGGCATTTGCTAATATGGCCTCTTTGGGAGTAGAGCCTTGGCCCGTGCCATGAACTTAAGTGGTAGGGCACTGGTCTAGGGTGGGCCCTAAATCTACTGTGGTCCGTGTCCTTCAAGAGGACGGGAACACAGAAACACAGACCCACTTGGGGCTAGAAAGATGGCTCAGCAGGTAAGTGCACTGGCTAATCTTTCAGAGAACCTAAGTTCAAGTCCCAGCACCTACATCAAGTGACTCACAACCACCTGTAATTCCAGCTCCAGGGGATCCAGAACCCTCTTCTGGCCTCTGGAGGGCCTGGCACACACATGTATACACACCAGACACAT